GTTAGGTTAAGTTAGGTTAGTAGGTGTTTAGAATGTGGAAAGAACAGAAAAACCCCCCAATTTTTTGCATTTATCAACGTTTTAATGACTCGAGAGAGTCATTAAAACATTAAATTTTTTGCATTTATCAACGTTTTAATGACTAGAGAGAGTCATTAAAACATTAAATTTTTTGCATTTATCAACGTTTTAATGACTAGAGAGAGTCATTAAAACGTTGATAAATGCAAAAAATTGGGGGGTTTTCCCTCTGTTACATATAACAAAGCCAGGAAAATAATTCATTAACACAGTAATTAAGTTATACACATTTACAAGTAATTAATTACGATTAATACAATTATTCTGTTTTCTATAATTATAATTGTTCAACAATACAACAATAGAAGATAATTAAATGCATTTTATAATATATTAATTTATTATTACATTAAAAAAACATGTGTTCAATTATCGTAGTAGAATGTCTCAATTAAGAATTAATTAAGAATTTATGATTTTGTATATTTTTATAAACTATAGAACTGTTTATTTAATTAGTGACTACATTATTATAATTATAAATATTTAAATTTAATAAATGTTTAAAAGAGAATTACGAATGCGAATTGTGTCAAAATTGCGAATTTATTCGAGTAAATATAGAAATTAATGAATGGAATGGATCTAAAAATCATTCATTTTCTTAAATATAATGTAGAATATATTCAATTGTATTCTAGTGTTTGTGGTGGAGCACGATTTTCTTCACCTATTTGAAGCTTAATAATTCCTGTGCCTTTTGTCGAAAACGCCTGAAATTTTGCAGGAAGGTTTGTATATTAGACCCATCGATGCTATTAAATTTTGGTGGTTAAAGGTCGAGGGGATGAGGAGATAGAGCAGTTGTCACGTGTCGTATCTCGAGTGGGGGGTGTCGAACTTAATGAAGATTATACGTTATTAGCATTTCTGCCTTGAAAATTAATTTCGCTATTTTATAATAATATAAAAAGTTTTAAAATAAAATCTCATAAAAGATGGCATCACACGTAATTTTAAATATTTTTTTTTTGCCTGGAAAGTTATGCAACTCGTTGTTGGATTATTATTAACGTACATCATAATAATATTAAAGATAAAATAAAAATCGCAATGTAAAATATGTTTTTAATAACGTTTTTATATAGAAAATATCTTAATTATTTAAAAAGAAAAATGAATTTTTTATAAGTTTTTTCTAAGAAAAACACAGTTGTTTATCATTTTTTAAAATGTTGTTTACGATAAAGTAATTCGTTATAATTAAAATAAATGGAGCATGGGTAATAAATAACGACAATATAATATATTATTTAGGTTTTACTTTCTAAAATTATCTTAAATTTAACAAAACATAGAATAATTCTACCGATTTATTTTTCTTCTAAAGATGTCAGAAGTTGATTGATATCAAATACAAGTAGGACATTAAGCATATTTTGTTATTTGGTAACTCTTAAGAGGTCTTTCACCCTCATTCATTCGGCAATTCACTTTCTTTCGTGGGCAAAATTCGACATTTTTTTTTCTTTTTTTCTTACATTCGTACGATAAATGCGGTAATATTTATCAACCCCGATTGGTCAAACGTATTTTCTAAATCTAAATCTACTACTTTCACCATAAAAACTATTGATTTTCTAAGAATTCTTTAAAGAATATCGAGTTTAGAATTTTGATACTTTCTTCAGAATGAAAAGGGAAAGTGTTTCCAAGAATAATTCTTTTATTTATTTATTTATTTATTTACTTTAGGAACCTTTAAAACACGAAAAGAGAATTTAATATTGTTTATCAAGTAAATGGAAATTCAAATTCATTTTTTTTAAAGGCTTACATCGTTTAGTTATTTTTAGATGAGAACATTCTTAGACAAAGATACGAGAAATGTTGGCATTTATATAAGATATTGCGTAAATATAACCGAAAAAAAAAACAAATTTATACGCTAAAATAATAATATTTTCTCTTATAAACAAAATGTTTGCTATTTTATGTTTCGAATTTATTTTAGATTTTTATTTATTTTGATATAAAATCGCCTACGAGAAATAATTAATTTAAATATATACTGTGAACCTGTGTAAGCCGGACACTACGGTGCCGAATATTATTTCGGTTTCCGTTTTGAACAGGTTTTACTGTGTATATCTAAACAGTTAAAATAACGTTATTTCTTTATAAAAACACTAAATTTAATTAGTACATATATAAACCTGTAATACAGAGATTCACGGTCCCATAAGGTAGATTTAAGCCCATAGCTTAGGGCTTCACATTTTAAAATGTACCATTATTTGATAGAGGGAAGGGCGTTTTATATGTTATAACTAAGACTACAAGTTCAGCATTGTCTAGATTGAAACTACTCTTGTACAGTACATGCTTCTCAGGTAAGAATTAACCCTTATATTGACCTTTATGACGGACAAGAAGTATATTATGAAACTAATATTATTGACGTGTAAATAACAATTTAAATTACCTTTTATAATCAGGGACAGAGTTCCGCGTAAGGTAAACAGGCAGAAGCTTAGGGCCTCTATAATGAGTCTGTAGGGCCTTAGAATCCTACAGACTCATAACGTGTGGTTTAATATAGCATTAGATTTTAAGGCCTTACATTTTTACATATGTTACTTGATGGAGGGGAAGAACATGTTACGTGTTAAGTCCAGTCTTGTTTACGTTCATAAAATATTAATAATTTAGTGTTTTATGTAGAAAGTTTTAATCAATAAAAACTAAAGTTGTAAAATTCTTATAAGTTTTAAATGCAAATAATCGATAGTCTTCAATATTGATTATTATTATCGATATATTTTTTTTGTCTGTAATTAAAATTAAATACAATGAAACCTGTGTAAACCGGACTACGTACGGTACTGAATATTTTTTTACGTTTAGACAGGTTTCCTTTTTGATTGTGACAGGTTTTAATGTATATTAAACACAGTTTATTAAATAATCGCTATTGATAAACATGATACATTAACACAACACATGGGAGATCTGAAAAGGGGTCCACTGTATACTCCTGCCCCTAAACTCGCCATATCTGGTCTCGACTTTCATTTATCTAACTCCGTTCTGAAAGACAGACAGCCAGACAGACGGAATTTATAAGTCTACGATCTTTTTTTTTTCAAATTGCATCTGAACAATTCATTAAAATTCTGTTGTTAATACAATAAAAGCTATCGAATAAATCAAAACCCTGTTTAAACGAAAAAAAATCAGTACGGTGCGAATCCGGCTTACACAGGTTTTACTATAATTTACATATTATTATTTTTTAATGTTATTAAATTCGAGAAATGAGTATCGATCGCTTAATATGATTCAAAAGTATTTGTCGTATGATGAATCGTTCTTATCTAATTCATTCTTCTTATCATTAATATTCAATTTGTTTAATAATTATCTCGTTAATGTCACTTTAAAACAGTTTTTTCCCCCTTTCTTTTTCATAGCTGTGTTTGCAAATCAATTTATTAACAATATTTCTCCTGTTTGCGAAGGTGCACCGGTGAAATTTAATTTCGAATATCATTTACTAAATAGGTAAACACTGTCGACTTATTGTTCTATGTTTAAATACGTGACCGAGTGTCTTGTTTTTACACGATATAATCGATATTCTTTTTATTCTTAACTGTTATTTATGCATTCTAAGTCATTGTTGATGTAGCTAGGAAGTATAAAGAAGAACTATCAATATAAAGAAGTGGGGAAAAAAAATCAATTTTACTTCAAAAAACGGTAGCTATTTTGGCAGGATTGATCGTTTGAAATTTGCATTCTGTGTCGAAAAGGTTACATTTTATAAAATAAAAACTTAAGTTTTAAAATTAAATATTTAGTAAATAAGATTATCGAATGTTAAAGTGTTAAAGAGTCGATAAAAATGAAGTTTTTTCTTTTTTTTACAAAGCTTAACACATCACTAACAAAGAAAACGGTCCCAAAATGCAATTTCTGTAATGGAGTAAATGAAATTGAAGTTTCTTAGAAGAAAGAACAAGAGAAGAAGAAATTTAATAGTTCTACTGTGAAGTTTTCTTTGAACATAATGTAATTTCAATGTTTTTAAATTTAAAATTAAAGAATAATATATATTTAAAATATATGCTCGCCATCTCAAATTAACAGTGGCTTGCCCCTGTACATCATACTTTTCCTGATAACAGAGTCATCTATATAACTTCATTCTAGGGACGTTTTTTGAATTGAAATCATGTGACTTCCGGTTTTCGTATAAAGTCATTAAGTAAGTAGATAAATAACAGTGGGAATTTATAGGTCTACATTAAATTAAATTTAAAATTACATGTTAACGAAGGATGCATGATTATAATTTAATCTTCCATAAATATATTTTCTATTAAAAAATCTTTATAATAAAATAAACTATTTATTTTATTAAAAGTTAATAAATTATGCCATATGTAATTTTAAATAAGTGAAATTTATATAAATCTTAATCTACGATACCTTTCAATGTTGCTGATTCCTTTAGAAAGAGCCCATCTGTAGCCGATTAGATTAAAACAACACAACACTACTAGTTTGTCGCGGGTTCGCACTCGACAACCGCGGAGTTTTCCGGGTTTTTTCACGTGTCTAACAACTAAATATGGTCCAGTTTCCTATAAGAAGTTCTCCCGGAAAGTACTCTATCAAAGGGGTGCCTCCCAGAAAGACCTTTTATTGATGGGATGAAGGACGTGTCGCTTTGTCTCATCCCATCAATCCTTTAAAAAGAAACGTGTTTCATCCTTTCTTGATTTTAATTTCAATTTTTTTTTTTTGAGAACATTTGTAATTCTGTTAAATATTTACCAAAATACTTTCATCAAAATCACTTACTACCATTTATTAAATTAAATTACTATTCAGAAAATAACAATATTATTTATATACTTAATCAAATTACTCCCGTAAACATTAACGTATTGCAAACAGACTTTAAATAATTAATATTTATTTCACTAATAATTACAATGATAAACGTGACATTAAGTTCGAACTTCGGAGCCCCTCCGGCATCGATCAGCCGGCGAAGTAAGGACTCAGCATCACATTATCCACTTTATTTAATTATTTTACAAATAATATTTAATACTTAATTTATATAAATAATCTATGAATAATTAAATAATATTTTTAAACGCAAGTAGTGGCGCAAGTATTAGAATCTGTAGGTACGGCTATCCATTTAGAAACTAGTTTAGGGGTGAAGAGATTGGCGAAAGTATCTCTGAACTGCCTACTCATTGAACAGTAGAGAATAAAGTTCACTGAGCTGTTAATAAGTGCCAGAATATCAATTACTTCTCCAAAATTATTGTAGACGTGATGAAAGAAGTCTTGTCCGAGAATTCCATTAAGTAAGGCAAGAATTCCCGATGGAAATTCGGTAATCAAGAATAATAAAAGTACCGCTAAAAGCATTTTTGTAGTTCGATCACAGGCATTATCTGCTTCTATACGATTCTTCAGTTTCTGTTTACGACGATTTGCTTCGTACAGAACACGTATTAGTCCTATACTCAGTCCTGTTAATGCGATACAAGGAATTAATTTAGTAAGTACGCTAAAAATCCAAAAATTAAATTTCTCTAATAATCTATCGTTCTTTTTTGCTATTGAACTAAAATCGACTTTGTATAATACGTGAGAACCGTCTTCTAGGGAATGTATGGTAAATGTTAAATATACAGGTAAACAAAACACTGTACAATTGACATAAGTACTAATAATAGCAATCTTTGCACGTGGCATATTGCACCAACTTTTACTGTTGGCAGGGAAACTGACAGCTAAAAATCTCCAAACTGCCAGAATTACCGTTAACCATATCGATATTGTATGACAAACTACACTAAAATGAGCATGAAATAAGGCATATACGGCCCAGTGATAAGAATATTTTTTATGATCCGGTTGATTTATTAAAATATAATTATGAAAAGCAAAGGGCATGTAAGATATCATAACAAACATATCGGCAACCGCCAATCCTGTTAGTATGGCATTCGTTGGTGAGATCATGTGTTTACGTGTCAAAACAATAATGTTAAGTACGTTAGCAACAATACCAAAAGTACAGACAAGAAGACTTAAATAACCATGAACTTCGCTGTAACGATTTCTGAAGAAATATAATTGATCACCGTAGTAAGGATGTGGCCATTTGTATTGAAATTGACTCAACATATCACTGGGTAGAGCAGATAAATTAGTTAAATTAAAATTTTCGTGCAACCATCGATACAATTCTTGCTCGTTAAATTCGGTTAACAAATATTCATCTGTCATATTCATTTTATATCATATTCTTGTAAAATTGATTCAAAAATTAAGTGATAAATCTTTTTTTAATCTGACGATCTGACATTTAAATATACGTCTTATGTATCTGAAAGGTAAAAAAAAATATATTAATTAATTGTATAATAGTCTGTAAAAAAATGGTTCGAAGTCTCAGGTACGTGGAGATGAATGACGTAACACAAGAGGTATTATTTATTGGATCGCGTTAAATCAATGGGATTTAGTGTGATAACGAAACGTAATTAACATGATACCAGATGTAATTTAAGGGATTTGGTTCAAGGATTTTACGATAGATCCTATTGGCCTTTTATGTACTTGTTATAATGTTAAGGTTTATTGATCTTTCTTAACATTTTACCATCAAAACATTAAAATAGATTTTATGACACACAACAAAATTATTAATTTTAATCAAGGACAGACATTCTCCGTGTTCTTTTTTCTTACATTATACTACGTAATTAATTAATTAATTATTCGCACTTTTATATTATTACCAATTTATCTTACAAATATTTTTAAAAATTGAGTCAAAGATGAAAGGAAATTTTGTATAATTTGTCATTGTGGTTTGTGTTTTGATCCCCTCTATCTCCTCACCCTATTGACCTTTAACCACCAAAATTTAACAGCATTAATGACCCTAATACATAAACCACCCTGCAAAATTTCATAAATTTTTGATAAAAGGCACAGGAGTTATTAAGCTTCAAAGATGATGTTCAAAATCGTCCCCCCCACACACACACTAACGTCAATACAGAAAAAAACCCCGAATTTTTTTTGCATATCTCGACGTTCTGTTATATATATAACAGTCAGAAAACTAAAAATTCTATTCGAATGTATGCAAATTACTATAATTTCTAAAGCAATTTCATTAAAATATGTATTTACAATTTCATTATTTAATGTGTTAATTGACAAATATTTGCTCGAGTTATTTGATTAACTAACGAATATAAAGTTCATTTTTATTAACTTTCCCTCCCCCCAGCAATTAGCTTGTTTTGAACTATTAATCGCTAATTAGAAGACTTATGGAGTTTTGTTAATTGTAATAATCTTTCAGAAATAAAATACAGCTCATTAAAATTCATTGTGACTATTTTAGTTTTAATTTAATAACTAATTAACTTCATTATAAAAGATTATGTTAAGACGAATAATTTTTTTTTTCTAGAAATTCGATTTTATTCGAGTTATATAAAGCATTTCGACTTGAAAAAGTATGTTGAATAATGTATACTTATTGATATTTAACTGCTAAATTACCCCCGATTCAACTCTATCCAAAAAGATATTTAACAGTCTATATGCAACTAAATTTGGCATTGTGACGAAACAAGACACGCGAAAGACATTTCCGTAAAGAAATATTAGTACTAAAACTTGCCACTGGGGAATTTTTGGCTCTGCGTATAACGAAAAAAAGCAGTTTTATTTATAAAGATACTTAAACTGTACAGTCGACTTCCCTATAACACTGTTGATTATTCCGTTTTATATAAATTCCATGTTGTACGAGTCACTTAGATTTTACAAATACGTGTGCCGGGCTGTGAACGGGGGGAACGGCTCACGTATTTGTAAAATCTAAGTGACTCGTACAACATGGAATTTATATAAAACGGAATAATCAACAGTGTTATAGGGGGGGTCGACTGTACTTATCAGAGTCGAAAGACGTGAGCAATTATTTACTGTGACATCGGTTTTGCATTTTTTAATATTTAATTTAAAATATATGTTCTCGATTTTAGTAAAGTCTTGTCCCTGTACATCATACTTTTCCTGAAATAACGTAACTTTCGATGTAAATCGGAGGGTTTATATATAGTTAATAAGTGCCTTCTGCCCCTAAGATTTCCATATCTGTTCTCTACTTTCATCGATCTAACACCGTTCTCTAGAATAAGAAAGGACAGACAGGTAGACGGACGAGAGTGAGAATTTATAGGTCTATAATTTTTTTAAACTGCAGCTTAACGATGATTGAACACACTGTTCATCCCCTTTATATTTTATACCTTTAGCATGGAGACTATATTAAACACTCTCTCCATTGCTAGAGTCTCTGTACAGCATTATATAAATCTGAAGAAATGAGAAATTAGAATACAGAGCTTAGAATAATCCGAATACAATTAAGTTATGAGCAAATTATTTATCCTAAACAAAATTAATTTTAACACGTTTATATTCAAAACCAAATTAAAATATAAAGTTTAATTGTATGTTTAAACGATGAATATTATTATATATTTATATTACTCATACGTTCAAATGTAATTGTAAACTGTACAAACATCATTTATTAACGTGATATTAATGAATTTTCAACACACCAGATGCTACACAACTCTTAGATATTATATAAGATCTTAATTATAATAAGAATGAAAATGATAAAGCATGTAAACAAAAGTTTATTCTGTCACAAATATTGGAAAATTATAAAACTTTATGTGTTATTAATTATTATAAAAAAGTAGAAATGAGTTTTATATATTAAAAAAACAATTGTAAATGTTAATAAACGAGTGAAATCTTCATTAAGTTCGACCCCACTCGAGATACGACACGTGATGTATCTCCTCACCCCGTTGACATTTAATCACCAAAATTTAACAGCATTAATTAGTCTAATACGAGATCCTTCTTGCAAAATTTCAAAAATTTTCGACAAAAAACACAGGAGTTATTAAGCTATCAAAATGGGTGAACAAATTCGTGCCCCTAACCGACTTTAAAACAACTGCGAGAAGTTAAAAAAAACAAAATTAATTTAATAAATTAGTTTTTTAAAATAAAATAAAATAAAAATTAATTAGAAAATATAAAAATAGTTTAAATTTTGTTGGAATTAATAAAATTAAATACAGAAAGAAGTTAATAAAATACTTTAATTTAAGAATTTGTCATGTTTAGATGCTTTGTGAGACGTTAAGTATATGAATTTAAAGGCAATTTTATTTATAAAATTAATGCAAAATTTATCATTTTCACACTCGAGCATAGATTTATTCCTATTTAATTTTCAGTATAAAAGGCGAAATTTAATAATAATTTTTTTAATATTTAAGAGAATAATTTAATTGTATATTAATTAAATCAAATATAAGTTTAAATGATAACGATTCCTGTATTATATCCTATAAAAGAAAAGATAAGAGCATTTAGAAATACAATATAAAAAAAAGATTCGAATGTATCAAAATGAAGAACGTTTAATTATTTTATACAGTTAAATGTGATCAATAGGCAAAGGTAATCAACAGGTGTGTACTTATTAGAATATAATGTAACAATAGTTAATAATTTCGTATCATCTCCATATATCTGAGACATAAAATTAAATTTTTAAAATAATAGAAAAAAAACTCACCTTCCATTTTATAAAATTCGAGGATGTTAGAAGTGACACGAGAAGAACGTTCCTCTGTCGCCGCATTGACTAGACTGACGACAACACTGCTTAAACTGCCTATTTGCTATCCAACCAATCTCCTATTGGCCACCTGAACGATGGTCACGTGCAGGAAACAAGACCCAGTGTTTATATACAGTGACAAACTAATCAAGTCGAGAACAGAAATCATCTAATCTTGGAAATCGTAACGACAAATAAACGTAAATTATTTAAATTTTAACACAAAATTCTACTTAAATTCTGTTTTTTTTTTTAAAAAAAAATAATTTTACTAAAATTCCTTTACAGAAATATAATTAATTTTATTATTTTATATTAAAATATACATTTTCGATGATTTCATACTTATAGATTTCGCCCGTTTGTCTGTTTGTCTGTCCGTCATTTCTTCCTTAATCTCCAGAATGAAGTTAGATACGTAAAAATCGAGACCTGATATAAAAAGCTTATATACTATATACTTTATGTTACTTTCGTGTAGTGTTTTTTAGTGTGTACGAGAAGCAAAACTTTACATTAAATGAATGCATTGAATAACATTCTCTGTAAGATTATCCAAACATTTTAATTTAATTAAATCAAAATTAGTAACGTATAGATTACTGTTAATTTATTCTCTCAACTAAGAAGAACATTGGAAGAAGAAGAAGATGAAGAAGAAGAAGAAGAAGAAGAAGAAGAAGAAGAAGAAGAAGAAG